ACGGACGTCAAATAGAATGGATTTATGATTCGCGTAGTATACGGGCGGTGCGCGTCGTGACCGGGCTGGGGGATTGCGAGGGAGGGGTAAGGTGTCGGCGAGCACAAAGGGCTGCGGTTCAAAGGCGCCGCCGCCGCTCCGCTAATAAGCAATAAACAAGGGGGCGGGGTCCGAGGGCGCACCTGAGGGATCAGCTCGCAATCGCGATACTGCGCTAGATGTGAGGCTGGAGCGCCGGCGCACGCGCATCAATGCTCTTGTAAGATTGTTTCGAATATCGCCAGTACTTACATAAAATTTTTCTAATCTTTTGTCGTTATGACATTTAAATATTTAAATAGTAACATTTTTTATTTAAACTTAATCAATTTTCCAAGTATCCACAAGGATACTGCAGTGTAATTTTACAGGTCTACATAACATAACTTAGTGGTATTTGTCAAAAGCAAACTATATTCGATTAGTTATATAGATTTATTAATCTATAGTCTGTATACCACAAAATACCTAACAATAAGAGTATTTTGTGGTCAACTGTATTATTTATAAATAAATGAGCGAACATTGCCAATCCATCTGACATGAATGTTGATGAATTCTAGCCAATTAAGAAGCAATAAAATTATTCGCGATAAATTTGAATATAACACGTACAAGCTATCATTACAGAGGCGATAAAAACGGTTCTATTGTTGAGTTAATGCCCGCTAATGTGGCCCGCGTGAATCATTGCGTGTTAACTTTTTTTTTCTTATAAAACAGCGTGTTTGTTGTGAGCTTGAGTCAAGCGAGACTTCGCGGTACACAATGGTTCGCTTAATGGTACGTGACGTTGCCTTCTCCGCGTTTACTATTGTGCACGAAGTAAATCTGTTGTTTGATTTCACCTAAGTTAAATAAGTTTATTTTTGCCTCATTTTCGTCAACATTATCGGAAATCGGATTATAAATCAACATTCTTATGTTAATGCATCTTTGTTTTTCCGTTTGATTGTTTTACTTGACTGCGTAATAATAGTTCAGACGAACCAGTGAGTTATTCAATCAAATGTATTTTAGTTGATTTCTCACTACACTTTTACCTTCTTTCTTTTGTCCTTAGTCGTTCAATTTCTTCATCAAAGTTAAGGTGGTCTGACATTGTGAGGAGTGCATGTCAGAAGGCGTTGACAGTGTATCCCAGGGTACGAGCTGTTAGCCTGTCAGTCTGTGTGTCAGCAAGACGACGACGTATCTCGGCGCGCCGGTCACGACCAGCGCCGTACGATCACGCTACTTCGCACCAACTTATCCGTCAATCAAACCATCTAACAATATACAATTAGTATCACAGGTAATACCAGCAAAGGAACTTGCGCAATACAACTAAATAAAACGTAATTCTTGGTACATTTTATCACAGGACTTAGATTTAGACTTTGCATGCTTATACTGCGAACCACTACCGATTATTCACTTAAACATCGTCTATTTTCCTCAATCGTTGCGTCAGTCTCATAATTGTTGCATAATTAAAAAGTCGTTTTTATAACAACCTCTTTTCTAGAAACCCATCCTAAGCTGTTATTATCTAAGTCGTTCATCGAACATTAGAAGTAAGCCAGGTGCTAAGAAACATTTACAACTCGAGATTTCTAATTGTGTGAGATAGTTCGCTGGTTAGGGTTCAGTCATGTGCCACGCCGCGATCCGGACATCTATCGCCAACAACAAAGCAATCGTTGGGAACTCCGTGACGGAGTAATTCGTCGTTTCCCTCGCTGCGCTGGACGCGACGATTAGCTTGCCTCTATTTAGTTGTCTATCCCGCGTCCCGCGCTGGCCGCGTTCGCCGCGCCGCCCTGGCAGCTGACGGCGACGGCCGGACGCGGCCGACACGGACACACCGCCACTCGGACAATTACAATATCGGCTTAGAAAAACGTTTGCTTCGTACAACTCGCACGTCCGGCCCTAGAATGATAGACATAGACATCTAGAACGTTCCGCGAAAACGCTGTAACGGTACACGAATTCGCTTTTAGCTTTTCCATTTGATTCTCGACCTCTGTCGCGGGTCGAAGTCGATTTGCCATTCGCAGGTGATTTTTAAAACATTAGATTGCGGCGTTCGTTTAACTCGCAAAGATAATTCCCACACAGCGCACCGCGGAGCCCCGTGCCCCGGGCACGACCGCCGCGTCCTGAGATAGCACGTGGGCCCGCCGCGGCATCGGCACCGCGCTCATCTGAATCTTAGATAATCTCGAGCGCCATGCGAACAATACCGCCGCGGACGATTAATGAAGCCAATTATTGCTAATAAATTAAAATCCTTTCTAAGTGCCCGAGTCTTGGCTAATGGGACAATAATTTTTAATCACGTTAAATTATCTCTGGTAATAGTATAAAGAATGATTGTACTCCTTCTAGCAGACATAAACGTGTTCACGATTCTTTATTCAGTACCAATTCGCACTGACAGAATATTAAATCCTTCGGAGCTTTCTTCGAACCAGTGTTTCCCTTGAAAACTAATCAGCGTTGGCCATTATGGGCCCGGCCGGGGCGCGTCTTTACGTTCGCTAATATATCTCGAACGTTCCTCGGGCGAGGAGAGCGCACGTCCCCGAGGAATTAGCCCCGACAACTCCACAATAGTCCATAATTATGAAATGTGTTGTGATTCCGAAAGGATGTGCAATTTTTCTCTGGTGGCGAACAATGCGGGATGGTAATGAAAGGAGTCAATCAGTGGGCTGCGAGACGCGTCTGCGTTAATTTATGCTCTGTAGTTCGACGGTTTGACGTCTCAGCGGCGGCGGGAGTGCGCCCCCCTTCCGCTAATGCGTTCGCCGCGCGGACAAAGGCAGATCAAATTGCACTGAACCTTTTCGCAGTCGCATAATCACTATTGTCTTAAACATAAAACAATTTTGCAGACATTTTGTATTAATTACTACTAAAGTATACTAGCGAGACAAATGGACTTGGAATTTGAATTCCTCTATAACTGAAGTTTCTCGATATTTTGCGATATTCAGATGTTTCGCTATACATTGGAGTTTTCTTAAGTAAAGTAAAGGTGATTTACGATTAGCACAATGCGGTCGGACAGGTGACAAACGGGACATTATTCTGGAAAGAATACTTAGAGGTATTAAAAACTTATGATCGCCGTACAACTGGGTTTATACGCACAATTTGCGTGGCTGTGACAGGGCGCGGTATAATTTCGCGATGGCTGCAAATCCATCAATACCCGCCTCGGGCCACGGACGCTTTCAATTTGTAGGCCGCTTACATCGCCAATTACCGACAGACGGAAGGCCGATCATCGTCGATATACGCTTAATAATGCCTAATGACACTTAATAAAGACGGGATATAAAAGTGTGACGATTATTTATTGTGCGTATCGTAAATTTTAATGATCCAACGCGCCAAGATATTCCCGTGGGTACGTTTTTATCCTTACATTCGTGAATTTTCCTTTTTCTGTTTGTAATTATAGGTTATGATGCTATTCCTTCTTTATGTGCTATGCGTTTGTACTATGAATAATTATTTTTATTCGTAGAAAAATTATTATAACTTGAAGATAATTTTTTACTCATTTAGTAATCATAATAAATGTAGTTTTTACGAACTTTTCATGCTCCGTTAATTATTATTTATTAAATAATGCGTTTATGGATAATAATAATAATTTATTTATCTATCCGTCATAGTAGTTGGCAGGTTTGATAGCGTAAGGGATATTAAAGCCTATTTTTAAAGTTTATTAAATAATTAATTTAATAATTCACTCCGATGTTAAATTATTTGCATTCTTCAATAAATATACTGAATAGTGCTTCACAAACATTTATGGTAATATTATAAACTCATAACTTAAATGTACTGAAAAAGGTAAAAAATTAGTTAATTATCACTTTTACTCATTAATGGCTAACGCCTACTTACCTAGTCTTTTTTAAGTAACTATCGTTTAGTAATTTTACAGCTCAATACAGATGATTTGTTTTGTTTATAGAAATAAATTCATGTATTAAAAGTATTTAGTTTATGGGTGCAGTTTTCGCCAACAAACTGCTTTGGCAGTTTGGCGAAATTTTATATTTTTGTATTAAAATTTAAAAAAAAAAGAAACCAATCTTCAACACTTTGCTTCGTAACCGCCGTTTACAATCTGACACAAACATTTTATCTATACTAATATTATATAGAGGAAACATTTGTATTTTTGTATTGAACTAACTCAAAAACTACTTGGTCGATTTAAAAAATGATTTTGCCATTAGAAAGGAAATTTATCTGTGAGTAACGTAGGCTTATTTTACAATTTCACGCGAGCGAAGTCGCGAGCAACAGCTAGTGTGTCAATATTTTAATGGGATTTGGTTTTTAAGCATGGCTTTGATTTAGGACGCTGTTCCATATTTAATTTAGAAATATAAATTGATATGTCGTTTTAAAGTGATATGATTATGTGAAATCTAATACCAGAGAAAACAACTGTTGAAATTATTCTTGTTTTATAGATCCTTTAAAATGTGGAGTAAACTGAATGTCACATTTCCGCATTATACATTTTATCCTGTGTTTTTTAATTATGTCTAAAAGAGATTCTTTTCTATTCTCATACACAAGACTTTTTGCTTTAAATAATAAAAAAAATATGACGACATATACAAAAAAATTAACATTATTAATCGGGCATGTCGCTTTTTTATTTTTTGACTCTTGAGTGTATAAAAAAAGTAATAAATCTCCTATTGCGATATGTTGCAGTTATTTCTTAGATATAATTATAATACACTGGCTTTCGCCCGAGACTTCATCCGCGTGGAATTTAAAAAACAAAAGTGAGTAGCCTATGTGTCCCAGACTACGCTCACATCTGTGTCAATTTCATAGAGATCCGTTCTGTATTTTAGGTGGCAAGCTATCAAACATATATACATCTATACTTTCATATTTGTATTAGTAATATTTATGTTTAAAATAAAACAACAATACAATTTCATTTTGTTTATTAACACGTAGGGTGGCACCCTGATATGTGACACTACTTCGCGTCCTGCTCACATTATGATAATGAATACAGAAATAAAACATAACCTCAATCATTAAACAAGACATTGCTGCAATAATTATTATATGTTGTGTGGATTACAAATAAAATGTGTCTTTTTCTATTTAATGATAAAATTTTGATGAATCCTTTACTTAAGATGTAATATCCTAATTTTCTCACAATTTAAAAGTAGTTCAAATCCAGGGAATTAAGACACAACTAAATACATGTATATTAAGCACAAAATAAAACAAACATTAACATTTCAAATCTTGAATATAATAAGACAATACACTGCCTGGGCGTCGCATAGTGGTTCAAATACTTTGCAAAAATATTTTGGGATTAATTGTTTTAATTCTAAAGTTTGTTTATTGGTAAAAATTATTCAGAGTCTACATACATTTTAAATAATAATATCTGTCAATAACATCTGTCTAAAATCGATTGAAAGGTATTTAAATTAATTTACATTTGAAACGCACTACAGTACCAATTAGGAAAGTTCCCAGTTAACACACGCATAGATAGCTAATCTATAGATATATAATCTAGACAAACATGAGGCGATAGACTTTAGTTGGGATAAATACTTTTAAAGTTGTCACAATTCAAAACTACATTTCAAATATCTCGATTATTACAAATGTTTATGAAACACTATCTATAGATTACATATCTATGCAGATAACAAAAAATGGGCTTATACTTTTGATAGATATACAATTTATTATCTTTATTAATGGAGCAGCGACTACGATTTTAATATCTACTTAATGTACCATCTCATCTTATCCATTACAAACCGCTACGTGCCTATGTACAGTGCTTATTCTAAAAAAATAATTTAGTCGACTACTATACAATACATACATCTTGTAACACTAATGGAATATAAATAGTCTTAAATACTAAAATATACACACAAATGTAACACTGTATACATATATCACTTGGATTGGATTGCTCTATAAATCTGTAGGACACAATTTTAAGGAATAAGGATCAAAACTGGTTAAGTCACCTACACTTTTATACACTTTTAATAAAAATTACATGTTTTAGGAATGCTTGAAATAGTCTCAGGATGATTTCCAATAATATTATGTATTTTATTTTCTGTATGAAATAATTTTATTTTCAACTGATTATTTCTCGTATATACTAATCCAATTTATTCGCATGACTAACAATGTTTTCACAGATTTTACTCGTACATAGTACAGTTTGTTTTTTAACATTTTACAAGACATAAAATTCCAGTCAATGTGTATTTATTCAATATTAATTTGATGAAAAAAATCTAAAACTGTAATACATTTTTCATATAAGTGACATCTGTCTGATACAATACAAAGTTTGGAACTCGCTAAGGACCAAGTCGAATAATAAAAAAAAACAAAAATAAAACCGAATACACATTAACAGTAGATATTATCTGTAACAATGTCCACAGCAGAAAACAAACAGATGTACAGTACAGGATGTAGTGACGGTCAAATCTATACCTTATACAGGATGTTTTTGCCCATGTTATTTTGTCAACCGCCCCGTAACAATGTAATACAAGACTTGTATTGACACATAATGTTGTCTCTATATTTTTAACGATAAAATAAGGGATGGCAAATACAAACATTTCTGACAAATACATAAATTACAATTTTATGGTGTAATCAGTTATTAACAAAAAACATATGGTAAAATGAACGACTTATAGTTGTTTACTGAATGGAATGTATTTCGTAAAACAATAATTTTATTGTATTACATTCTGCAGTACAAATGTCTTAATTCAATGTATTACAATACGGAAATGTTAATATTAAAACAATTTGACATAAAACATGGATTATACATAGTACAAAATTAATAATATTATAGTAAACAATTATGTAAATCTTGTTATTGAGGATATTTGTCACACAACTTTTCGCACGTTACATGAATTACATAAAATTGTTAGTAAATTGTAAATGATTATTCTTTGGTTAATTAATCTTCATTCTACGAAGTTTTTAAATTGGTGTTAATTATTGCGAGTCAATTATGTCATGAAAACTTGTTTTTCAACCGATTCCCAAGATCAAGGATCATGAACCAGGTAACTATTGTTTAAATTGATCTAACTATACAATTAAAAATATTATATTCTTGGGTAGGAACATTGAAATTACGCCTTACGTCTATCGTTAAAATCAATTAATGACAATTTTCTATTACATCGCTACATAAACTACGTTAAATACAATATTATAATACTTGACCACATCCTATGTTCACTTACACAGATGCCAATTAAATATGGACTCACAGTCAGTTCAGTCACAGCACTTTGATAGTTCATTTAAATAAAATGATTTATTCCTTCTTCCAATAAGTTCCAGTCGTGGATAATGTTTTTTAGGAGCTCACAGAGGATGTCTGGGTGAAGGCGAGTGGTCCGGTCGCGGATGCGCAGGTGGCGGGTAGGGGCAGTACCTGAGCGGGGCGGGAGGTTTCTGCATCCAAAGGTCGGGGGGTAGAGCTAGTGGTTGGGGCCAGGCGGGCCAAGCGCGGCCGCCAAGCGCGAGCAACTGAAGTGCCGGCGGTGTTCGCGCCCAGGCTGCCCGCTTCTCTTCTTCTTCTGCAGCGCTGCCGGGCCCCGCACCGCCAGAGTACAACCGCAAAGGAGACCGCAGCAGTTGCTGCTCCATCAGCATCAACTCCATTGGATCTCTGAGAAAGTAGAAAAGTACAACATCAGAACCAGACGCTTATAATATGACCGTTTTATTCATTGAGTTTTGAGGTACAAGACCATATGTACAATCAATAAGATAGAGTGGATTAATTAAACTATAGCAGTACAAGGAACGGTGTTTCGCTTAAAAGTTAAATACTAGCTTATAGCACTAGTACATATTAATAGTGCAGAAAGAGTTATTTGCTGATGTATTTTACGATGTTGAAGGAATTAGTTTCTATACATCCAGCATGCGAGAAACCTTAAACCGAGGCAATTTCATTTGAAACAAGGCGTAAGTATGGAAACACAAATTATTAGAATTACACATAAGAATCACTTGAACTACTTCACACAGCGACTGGCAAAAGGCTTAGCTAATGGCCTCAGTTCTCTGCAATTAGTATCGAGGCGAAGGAAATTAAATTACACGTTAGTGGTGCGACACGCCACGACGTGCGCTCGACAACCGCCTGCAACACCTCGCACTGATTAGTAATACGAACACTGACGTACTGTCACGACTTCCTTACACTATGAAATATGCACGACTACAAAATACCAAGGATTTTATTATTTTATGTCTACGTAAATGTTCAGATTCTGATCCAGATCTGTTAGATTTGGATTGCAGTTTGCCAAGCCTAAGAGCGTGCGTATGCGTATGAAACTAAATTATCGCCCAACTTTTTAATTTCGCTTTGATTCCTATGAGCTTATATGCACACTACCCAGTTTTTAGTTATGCAACGAAACCGTTTGAATTAGCTACGAAATAATTGACAGTCGATAACCGAACAACAGTTGTTGGATAGTTAAGTCAAAGGTGTATAGCCCGCTCTTCTCTAGAATGTTCCATTTTCAAATTGATATGTGTGGTTTGCTTGTGAAACCTGGAAACTGGTGTTCCGGAAAGGGAAGTCATACGTAATAAGATAGTAATAACACATATTTCGGTAAGAGTTCTGGACAGAATGTGCGTCTGCAAACTCGAGGTGGATTCCGCGAACCCAACGCTGCATGGCTGCCTATACATTGGTTCTCAGCGGCCCGTAGTCTATAAACTGAGTTTCTGGGAACAAATCGCCCGCCGGCGGGACATATGATGTTTTCAAATATCGTAAAACGTTATTACGGTGTATGGCTGGGTGGCATTATACATTTCATAACGAAGACACTCACTTACTCTTATATAGACTGATTTAATTATTTCATTTTCTTAAAAGCAACATGAGAAGTGAATGAAATTGTGATTGATGGCAATTGGACACCGACTGAAATAAACTTTTTAAAAATGGAGTCGCAAGGTCCTTGTGAAAGGAATAGACGTAGGTTATTTGGAAGGTCGCGGACTTAAATAAGATTTGTTAAGGGCACTGGGAGTTCCATGCTAGGACAGCCTAGCGATAATAATAATGAAGTAACTGGCGATAAGAGTTCGAATGTAAACATTTATGCAATATGTATAGCTGCGTTTTTACATGTGAGGCAGCAGTAGTTTAAATCTATAAGTCGGTCAGTTTCGCGGCTATTGTTTCGTCGAATCAGATTTACGAGTGCGCACAGTTCGTTGTTAACGAGGCGAGCGGCGCAGGAGAGCGGTGCAGGCCAGCGGCGAACGGCGAGCGGCGGCGCGTCTCGGCGGTTTTATAGCGACGCAGTGGCTGATGGCCTTTATCGGTTCCCGGAGGTCGCGCGACCGCCGGGGAGCACGCTTCCCGCTAACTCGCTATTTTCGCCTCTCTACGAAATAATCGTCCGGCGCACGCGTGCAATATGAATCTTGCACGCCCGCTCTATAGATTTCGTAAGTTAGCGACGGCCGGTTTTGCACGAGCTGAACTGAGTGGTTATTAACTTGCGTCTTGAAATACGAGCGTCGACGAGCGCCGGCTAAACGAGCGTGACGATGCTCCGGAGCGAACGCGAGGGATCGGCGTGACGTCTCGAGATGCCGTGACGAATTTAATCTATCACCGGGTGAGTGCCGCGGGCGCCGGCGGCCCGGCAACACAGGTAGTGCTCGCCGCCCGCCGCCTGCCGCTCAGTGCCCACACACGCCAACAGAAACATAGATTTTTTATCATGTGCCTAATTTCCACAAAAACGTAATGGCCGCCACAATATCATCGTAACCGTGTATTATCTCACGAATATCTCGACGTCAAAACAACTTCACACGGTCGATTCAATTTGATTATTATGTTATTAGTTGAAAAAGCGTGTTTCATTTATTACAAATCGGAGATGGCCTACCATTTTAACGGAGATTGCGTCGCAGCTGAGGCTCTAATGTGTGAAATACTTAATACCCACAACGAGGCAATAAACCAGAACAAATCTTGACATGCATCAAGTTTCTGCCTGTGACTAAACTTTAACTTTCAAGGTTCTACTTTACCGTTTTATAGTTAATGACAGTGTTAATTCGATGAAGTACTGTGATAATTAATTTTCTTATAGCTGTGCTAGAAAATGATATTGGAACGTTTTATGCTGTACAGGTTATAAACATGGCAACTCATAAATATTAATACTTTATTATTGAAGTCGGTACTTCTCCTTCGGTAATTGTTGGGTATTAAAATAATTCCATCACCTCAAAGTATACGGTGCAAATTTACAACCTAAAGGTGCACTAATGGGGTCGTCAAAGGTACACTATTACATCTTGTCACTAAAGACTGGATATAAATAATAATTTCAGAAATTATAATGAAATTGTAAAATCAATTTTAAATTGCAAGTTAATACCATTCTGACTATACATAAAATAAAAATTCTGCATAAGAAAAAGCCTTTTTTAATGTTGTCTGTCTGTCCACAAGTCTGCGTTTATTGCGGATATAATCATAGTTTGATTTTTGCAGGACTTTTAATGGACTGGTATTGGGAAATATTAAGCTACTTTTTTTAAAATCCCGCACCGATGACGTGTGCAACCGCTAGTCTACAATAGAAAAATCTAGATCCCTTTGTCTAAACTTAACCTTGCCGGACATTTACATCAAATACCTTTTTCATTTTGAATCTCATACAAAAAATCTGAAACCTCTATATGCAAATTCGCAACAACACTGCTATTCTTCTAATAACATAAATAATAAATCCCTTCATATCGATGGAGGTGCGATACAAGGCGTTATACCGGGTGGTTATGTCGTTTCGGGTGCTGCGGGGGCGTTAATGGCGTATTTATTATGATCTCGGTATCAGCAGTAATAGCCAACACTCTGCGCCGGCAAATTACAGGGCGGCGTTCCTAAGAGGCCCGCTAGGCGCGCGCCCACTAGTTATCGATGTTACGATTGCAGATCGAATCGAATACGCGAGCACCTCGAATATCGATATTATAATACGCCAATCGAATACGAATATCGATGAACGCGCGCACGATGCTCTTACCCATCAGATAACTTTGAAACATGGTTTCCTTTTCACGATATAGTCTATATCATTTATGTTACAATCGTCTATTTAGTTATATACATGAAACCTTATACCTACCTTAATACGAACAGCATGTGTATACTTAAAATAATTTCTCTTAATCAAAGATGGGAATATTCGGTATTTCAAAAAAGGCACTTTTATATCAGAAAATACGCATTATCAATACGACATTCATTTAATAATTCCGTAAGTTACGAGCGCTTAATATCGATAACAGTAATTAAATCATCGACAGGTAGGTCCATCCCTAGCAATAACACTCACATACCGGACAGATTAGCAGGCATGTAAGGAGATAAAAAATTTTAATGGGTGTTCTCATGTCCCTTTAACAATATTTTAGCAAAGTGTATATTTATATTTTTACACTTAATCATTTCTAAATTTTATAACATAGATAAATTATTACGGAGATAGTAGCCGTGGCTATTATTTAAAATTATATTAAATTAAGATTTGTCCATCATTCTTGTAGGTTGCTTGAAAAAAATGTTCATATATTAACATATCGTTTTCGATCTAAAAACTGCACATTAGAATGCAGAAAAAGAAAGTTTCGTTCTAGAATAATCTAGTAATAGTTGAATTAACCATTTTTATATCAACTACGAACAATTGTCAATAACAATCCAACTAGCGGGCAAGATAATCGCAGGCAATCAAGTTAGAGGTGCGCCGAGGCATAAATATAACACGTCCTAAACAACTCGGATTGAGAGCGGTCACGGGGGGCAGAAGGGGGGTTCGCGGGGGGCAGGTGGAGTGTTCGCGGGGGGCTCGCGGGGGGTGCGGGAAGCAGGGGGCGGTGTTGTATTAATTAATGGCCACAGCCGCTATACCATGCTAATAACACCGTCCTCTGATTCCCACACGCCGCCAATTTATCATACTTATTGTCTGGCGATTTCGGACGTCAGCGAAGGAAGTCATTAGACTCGACTATGTTCGTTAAAGCGTTTATACCTGTATGTGGAAGTAAATTACTGTGGCGATTATTTTCGAGCTCTTTAAAAATCTAGCGGAGACAATGAGAATCTTAGAGATGGATGCTGATTTGCTCACATATAATTTTTCCGTGCTCGTTTCATTCGATGGTATATTCTGCAGGTAATGCTTTCTTTTTCATATTCTCTCGATTATTTACAGTTAACTTATGAAAGTAATCGATTGATTTGAAATCGCAAACCATTTAGTACAATGTAAACCAGTTTATATTACATAGTATAGTTAGACACATAAAATTGAATGATGGAGTAAATTTTAAATTATTACAGACATAGTGAGTAGAGTGTCCAATCAACAACGTTTTTTAGATTCGAAATTTCATATACCAATTTGTTCAGTAACGTTATACAAGAAATCGGTAAATTTAAAGTGTTAAATACTTAACACGAGAATCAAAAGCTTGTTATGCGTCTCTACTATTACATTTAATTTTTTATTAACATATTAGTTGAACCGGTTTAAAATCTTAACATTCAAGGAGCGGACGGTATGCGACCTGACAGATGTTAAGTGTGGTCACTTTGTGAGATAACATCGTATTCGTTGAACTGAATTTGATCGACACGTGAGTTCGGTAGCCGATGCTGACATCTCTATAATATACGCAAGAGAGTGACCACAATTTCGAAATAAATGTGGGACATGTGGAGTTATTTATTTTAATACTATCAAAGTAATAAAAATGCCCGGATCTTCATCTCCTGTCGAAGATTTATCATAGGAATTGACATAAGACTAGGTGACCTTTATCTACTTACTTACTCATAAATGGGGTAACCCTATTGCTGCTTTCTATAAAAAATAACCATCTGGCAACCTAGTGTACAAAGTAAAAATGTTACTTTGTAACAGACATGTCTCAGTTGAACGGGAACTGAGACGCGAGGTGAAGCGTGCGGGGTGGGGGCGGGAGTCGGCCAGCTAATTGCCTCGATAACATCTGGAATTAGCCTTCAATCACTCCGCGCTCGACTATCAACGCCGCTTCCTACCACATCGACGGACGCCGACACCGACACCGACAGCGACTATCAATTAATACAAATCGGTAGCCGTGTACTGACGCGATCCCAGATTGAATTATTAATAGATTCAATAATTCTGTCCATCACGTTAGCTACGGATGTACTGTGAGAATATGACTCAGTCTGAATTAAACTTTTGAAATACCATTGAATATTAAAGCGATGAAAGTCAAATGCATGAAATTCTAATACGTTACAAATTACGTCGGTATTAAATAATCTTAGCATTGGACGTTTATTATTATTTATTCCGTAATTATGTTTATAACTTTCAACGATAGATATGTTGAACAAATACAACAAATCACTTCAATACAAACTATAAAAGTCATCGTAATTATTTAGCTATTCAGATAACAGATAAAGCGCTGTAATTAAAGACACAGCAGTATCAAAATGTCATTCGTACTATGAACTATGAATTAATTTTTCGAATAGTTAATAAATAAATAACACTAGTTTGTATCCACATTCCTGACAAATAAACAAACACCTGATAATTATATCAACGGATATAACTAAAGGCAATTTAACACGTCATTGAAGGCTCGACGAAAATTACCATGAGTTTTCGACACTCGACGATCGAAGCGAGAATAATTCGAGTTGAGCGTGTTGGCAAGATGGCCGCGGGCGAGCGGTCCGAGGCATCGCACCGATGGCCGGATAATAGAAAATGCGCTTTAATTTGTCGTTTAGGACATAATGAGCGCAGGCCCTGTGATTACGCGCCGACGCCGCGGGCTCGCACCTCTGCCCGCCCCGCACTGCCCCGCTATCCCCGCGACCGCGCAGACGTGCCCGTCGAAATATAGAGGCCAACCTTAAATTAAAATTCACATAACCTTCGCCCATCTTGAATGAACTGACTTATTTTGGGAAGTTAGTCTTTTATTTAGTTAGCGATATTCATAAGAACAAAATTATGCATTTTGTATGTTATAAATTTATATTTTCGTAAACAATAAGTTTCTGATACACTTTTAAAATGATATTTAAAAATTAACCTCAGAAATTGAAACCTTAGATGTACCTTTAAAGTAAATTTATCATTAGAATGACACTTATCATTATGTTTCAATATTTGTCCGTGAAGTTTTTTTTTTTTATTTAAGAGTAAAAAAAAGAACAATATTTTTAATTGACCAATTTATGAACAATAGTAGTGGTAAGTGTATGTAAATCGGCTCGCGGCAATCTCTAGCCTCTAGACCTCGACCACCTTTACATTTAATAAGTAGAAAACGGTATTTTGCTACATTATTCTGCACTTGTAAGTTGTTATTGCTTAGAGAAAACAACCAACAACCTATCAATTACCTGACGCGTTAAAATATATCGGTAACTTGTAAACTCTAGTACCGTTTTTGTTTAACTATAAAATAACTGTCTGTTATTATCACTGGTTCATTTTACTGCTCATTTGAAGTATTTATTTTAATAATAATAAGCCACGTCTAAATTTAGTTGTACATAATATTATTCCTACACTAAGCATTGCAATTGGAGTCAAAAGCTAAAACTATGCTAAAAAGAGGAATTTGTATTTTTGTATGTAATGTGTAAACTCCAAAACTGCTGAACTGATTTAGAAAATAATTTGCCAATAGAAAACTAAGGTATGACTATGTAATATAGGCTATTTCCATTACGATTTTTTAGTATTCAAAAGCTAGTTTACGAAAATAACTATATCTTAATCTTCCATATAGTAAATCCATCAGTAACATTGAACGGTTAGGAATCAGATAAAGCTCTGAATAGTTCCCACGACATCCTCTACCGTTATACCGGAACTACGATACAGTAGCGTTGCATTGCTGTGTTACTACCGACGTTATTTCAACCGCCCACCTCAAACGACGCATTGGATACGTATTTTGTCAATAGCGTAGAATTATTGACGGTGACCACAAATTGATAATAGTTGCATTTTTAATATTTCTGAGGAAATTGCTATAATGCCAGTTAAACACGTAAGTTAGGGCAATATTTTGATAAAACCTAGAATATGAAGTAAAAAATAATTTATGCTGGGTTTCTAAAGTTTCGACATATTTTGTTATTAAGCGATTTATTAGTGTTAAGTTGGCCTATGTTTCAATGGAACAAACTAAAGATATATAGTTTCGTAACACGTTTCATGAATTTATTGAACTAAAACGTTAACGAATGGTTAAAAGTAACTGGGAAACCGGTCATTAATGAATTTAATTCGATTCTTTATCCGATTGCAGTTAAAGTTACATTCTAATATTACCCAGTAAACTATACGCATCATTAGACGCTATATTGATTTGCGATTGTGGTTTTTGGGTATTCGATATTGTTGTGGTTGAAGAATTTTATAACAATTGTTGTCTCTAGCTAATTGAGACGACAAAGATTTATATGATTAGCACGTTTTTGCTACTTTTATAGGAAACATTAAACAAATTGTCTGTTGTCTATAAACACAAAACACGCAAAATTATCATTTTACAAAGAAGTAACGCTATAAAACTTTAATACCATTGACATTCAATACATTTATCGCTATAATAAAATAGGGAAGATAATGAAGTATATCACAATATCTAGTAATAAAATATGCAGTTTATTAACAAATTAATTAGAGGATAACATTGTATAAAGAGTTAAAGGTCATAGGGCTTTAGTTAAAATATCCTGCGTTTTATTACACTTCAGTATCGTTAAATTAATAAATGTGGTAGGGAAATAGACTATTATTTGACTATTAAATTAATAGCAGTGTTATTTGATAAAGTAATATAAGGATTTCCACCCTTAATCCAACGAAGCTTTTTGTAGCAAAAAATATTATATACTACAAGAACCCTAAAATCAAAATCTCACCTACTTTTCTCTAAACTAGTTCAATAGATTTTTTTAAATTTTTTGTTCGTCACACTGGAAACTTTGGAATTAATGCCCTAATTTAAGTTCCTTTCTCTTTATCACCCTTTTCTTAAGAAGAGGATGGGAACGAGAAGTGGATTTGACAATGGAGATGCATAGGAAGGGGAAATATCCTCTTTATGTGCGTCTCCTCCTTCGGATAAGGGTAAGCAACGTATCTGCAATTGCGGATGTCTATGGGCAGCCGTCGCTTCGCCATTTTGGCGGATTCAGGTTGCCACCTTATGTTATAAAAAAAAAATTAAGTTAACAACGTGCAGCGCAGATCAAGTTTACGAAATCTAAATTATCAAGATTACTGCAATTCAAATTAGTAGAATAGAAATTATAAGGGCCTGTCCCACTAAATTGTAAATTGTCTGATAACATTCCAACGTGTAAGATGTGTGATGGAAACATCGGATTTTGTTACCTTATCTAACAGTGACTTAATTTTGATGCTATTTGAGCCTCTATCAGCCAATAGTGGGACAGCCCTTAGTAATAATTGTAGCTTACCTATCGAAATCTGTGAGCCGCGAGGAATCTCTGAACCCTTTGGCGAATGGATTGGAATCTATTTTGAGCTTGGTGATGAGCTGGTTCTGGTAAGCGGTAACGGCGGTGAACACCGTCTCCGGGAACACGAAGGTCCTGTGCTGCTCGCGGGATAGATCCGTTATAGGCCCTCCGCCTTCACGCACTTTCACCAGGTGGATTCGAGGCTGGTAGCGATGCATTGAGTTTAACACGATCTGTGGAGTGTTACATACTGTTAGAAATCACAAAATTTTGGGATTATCAATGAAAGGGGTAATAGAAACAAGAACTATAGCTACTGTATTTTTTTATAGAAATAATAACATATTATTCTAAATGTAACAGGGGTTTATTATTCTATCTATCTATCTATACTATTATAATAAAGCGTAAACACATACTTCTTTGTTGCCTAAGATGTCAGCAATTACAGCATTTTTGTCAATAATTATTTTTTTAATAAAAAGCCCTATACTTGCATCATGCTTTAGGCTATATATTTTAACGCTATTAAAATTACGGGGTAAATCTTTTAGATATAAATCCTAATGTGGGAAAGAGACCATAAGTTGCTGCCAACATCAAGGAAGCAAGGTTGTCATCATGTCATGTCATCTTGACATTTGCAATTAATAATTTGACATATTTGAACAATAAAATACATTTTTCATAATTTCATGCGGATGAAGCAGAACTGGAACAGCTAGTCTGATTTAAAAGGGTAAACATCATATTATTAAATACAGTCGCAGGCAGCATTGTATACAGGTGAGTACTGGCATACGGCCAATTAATTACACAAATGTACACAGGTATCTATTATGATATCGTCGGTGATTTCTCATCATATTGTAATGAATTGTCGGCTGGGAGATGAGACGCGCCGATACGCCACTACGCGCTGATGATATAATTAACCCAACATAATTAATTTGCTTTTTATAATTATGTACCAGTGTTAATTTAGCCGGCTTCCCTTTTAGGCTCGTCTTGTCTGATGTGGTAGATAATTAAATACGCTGTAATTGAAGTGCAGTTACAGTATGTGCATATAAAATTATAATTAACTTTTGTGCTTATATCATGTCAATTAAAAGGTGTAGAAACCCTTAAACTAAACTAACTAACTTTAACAGTGGTAGTGCCCGCTTTAACATCTTAGCACTGCAGGGCCGGCACGCCCGGTGTAATACCACGACCACACAGAAGACAGGCGTGGAATGGAAGTAATTCCGTGTTTCGTCTGACGAGTATGGTGCCGGAGGCCTAATTTAAGTCTCTTACTCCTTACCACCCTTTTCTCATAAGGAGAGGATGGAAAAAATTGACAGTGGAGGAGATGCATAGGAAGGGGTAGTGTCCTCTTTATGTGCGTCTCCTCCTCCGTCGGATAAGGGTGGGCAACGCATCTGCAATCGCGGATGTCTATGGGCAGCGGTCGCTGCGCCATTTTGGCGGATTCGGATGGTCGCTTGTTCATTTGCCACCTTATGATATAAAAAAAACATAGAGACGGGATAAATACATAATTTTATGAATAACAAAGTAATGATTGCTTTATTTAGAATGTTTTCGTGTCCATAGAACGTGGAAGAAACTAGGGGAGGTCTATGTCGAAGGACAACGTGACACGCAACTGGATGCAAGAAAATGAAAATGTACATATATACTTTACTTAAAAAATACTTTTATATTAAACTTTAACTATTTATATTGTTACTAGCTTTCGCCCGCGACTCCGTCCGCGTGGAATTATAAAAAAACAAAAGTAGCCTATGTGTTCTTCCAGACTATGCTCTACGTCTATGCCAAATTTCATTGAGATCCATTCAGCCGTTTAGGCTACAAACTCTAACAAACATCCATCCATCCATCTAAACATTCGCATTTATAATATTAGTTAGATTAATAAGTTGTAAATATTGTAATATGACAGTGAATAAAGAATTTATCTATCTATCTATCATGTCCATGGAATGTCTTCGTTTCTCTTCTGAAATCGTTGAAAGAAAAAACATTGAGTCACAATTTGAAAATTGTGTAATAATTCAAGGGTACTACTATAAAACGGTTTAATATTGTGTTAGCATCAGCGAACATAAATATCATTGTTATAGTATTAAAACCGTACACAAATCCGCTCTGGCTTTTCACGCCCTAAGGTTTCAGTGCATTAGTAAAACAAGATTTACCTTGTTGTGTGCACTGTTTATGTTTACACGTAGGTATTGCGAGGTGATTACACGACGAAAGGCTTGCTTACGTATCGATAACGCCTTGCTGTGTAATAAGGCATGTTTTAAAAATAAAATAAAGTAGATTATACGAGTGCTGTACTGCATCCCGAGTCGCCTATAACAAGCTTATCGTCAGCTCATGGCGACTACGAACTGCTTGTGTGCAACTTAAAATGTTGCTGTTTAATTAAATTCAAGGATGACATTATGTAACTAGCTGTTCCCATGCGACTTCATCCGTATGAAATTAAAAAAAAAACATTTTATTGCTCACTTTTGTCAAATTATCAATTTCAAATGTCAAAATCACATGACAAGATGTCAAACCATGGCAACCTTGCTTCCTTAATGTTGGCAACAACTTATGGTCTCTTTCCCACATTAAGATTTTTATCCAAAATATTAACGGCGTGAAAATATATAGCCTAAAGCGTGTCGTAAGCGTAGGGTTTTTTTTTATTTAAAAAGGAGTTATTCGAAAATATGCAGTGATTGCTGACATCTTAGGCAACAAAGATGTTTATTATATTAGTATCGATGTTATTTATGTAGGTAATTGCTTCGCTCTTAAATTCAAAGTGAATTGTGGCTTGAATAGTTGAACAGATGTCAAAAGTCATGATGTACATTTCAACACGCTCGTTTTTTCTTTTATGAGGATTCCATTAGCGGCCACGCTTCGCGGATTGTCGACCGCTGTAATCAGACACCCGCACATATAAAGCTGCTCAACACCTAGCAACATTCAGTACAATTAAACTCAATACGCGACACACATTAAGGAACCCTGTACACTAGTATTTTTATCGAACAATAGTTTAATCAGGCACTGCACCGGTATGAACATGTAGGTATAAGTTTTTGGTATGACAGCCCAATCCTGTCAAATAATCAGCCGATAACAATTCTATAGTCTATGGGGAACCTAATACTCTCTATCGATTTAGCGACAAAACTGATTTAAAAAAACAAATGCCAATCATTTGCGACTTATACTCAAGACTAGCATATTAAGTATCGCACTCAGATTTGCTTAATCTATTTAAACAAAATAAATTCGATTTAACTTCTCTCGTGTGTCTAAATGTAGTCTACAAGTTAAATACATCCATGACTATTGTTGATATATATATGTATGTTGTGTGTATGGGTGCAGCGGCCGGGGATTCGAACGTGCAGGGCGTGTCCGGCGTCATTACCGCGCCTTTCTAATTTCAGCACCTGCGCCTAATGAATTATCACACGCGCTGCGAGTCTCTGCTCTTGGTTTATTTTTAATATTAATAATTACAGCCTTGATGATATAGATTAGTTACTGATATCATAAAATCAATGTTAATGTGTTAAATTTGATATCCAATGTTTTAATTCTTTAATCAAAAGCAACGATTTAATTACAGCTACCCTTATCAAATTATGTTTAAATAATTGAATCCTTCGCTTCTCCATTGCCTCAGTTCTATCAAATGCAAACATAAAATTATAATCAACTAGCTTTCGCCCGCGACTTCGTCCGTGTGAAATTAAAAAATAATATAAAACATAGCCTATGTTACTCATCGACAACATAACTTTTTAATAGTGAAAGAATTTTTTAAATCAACTCAGTAATTCGAGTTATTTCATTACAATCAATCAAACAAGTTTTCCTCTTTATAATATTAGTATAGATGTATATTATATACTTACATACATTACCTTCAAAGATAGTAGTAATTCGGTAATAAAAATTTTTTCGAGGGCATGGCTGTGCCCGTCGTGGAAAGCAGGGTATGATGTCAATAGGCAAATTAATATCACAACGAGCAGTAATCGTAGTAAACATTTAAAATACAAATTAAAAAATTTAAATGTATCACTTCTAGGTTGTCTAGTTATTAGCCTAATAACTAGTCAGCTAGTTTTTAGCTTCAGAAATCCAGTATAAACAACTTTGATCTACTTATTTGATGAAATATTAAAATAACTAGGTACTGAGCGATGACACGGCTCTGTGAAGGGATAAGGACAACCCACAATGCTCCCTCTTGAAAACTAATTGAAGGAAACTAATCTTTAACGTGTTGGCGGTAAGATAACATATAGCTTGATGATGTTAGGTCGTTCATAGACGTTGTGCGGTGGGGGCGTTGGGTGTGACGTAGGGAGGAGCGGAACATGGCCGACGGTGGGGCCAGTCGGCTTCCGATCGTCGAGTCGGCAGTATGTCTTGTGCAAGTTTCTTAATACACAATAAATAATGTTTTAAAATTAGAGATTGAAGAATGTATACTTGATGTTATCACAGTAGTTTAGACTTGTGTAATTATTTTTATAAATCATACAGAAAAATCAATTTAAAATTAATTACCTGTAATAAAACGTCATTAAATGATTGATTTAAAATGTTATCGTGCCTTGCCTCGATATGCACGCATATGTAGAGTTACTTTTAAAAGAAAATTTACAAACACTAATCTTTAACTAAATTTACCACAAATTCGTTGTTCAGTAATTCCAAAATGTTTAGACAGGAACGGTTAGATTGTGGCGATAGAGTTTTGACGGGCTTAAGCAGGTATTTGTAAACGGCCACCGAGCGACGAACGGACAGACGGCTCGTCAATAAGCCCCGTGGATGTTTCGATTAGCGCGCCGGCCGCGGATTACGAAGGATTTTCGCCTGCGCGCAAACAAATTGCCTCCATTTGTAGCCACCGCGCGACGTGTTCCGTCCTTTGTAGCTAAAACACTTGATAAATTTAGGTTTAATCTTTCGTACAATTTGAAGTCGATGTAAGCTATTACACTCGTAGATACCTGTTTGTCTAATCGCGTGATAATCAAAACTATTTTATAAATTTAATTGACAATTTTTCATAACTCTATGTCTACTTAATCATTTATAACGCAAATATTTTGATGTAGTTAAAAAACTATATAAAAAAGTTGTAATTTATTAATATCATAAAGCAAGGAATATTAATTGAATCTTGAGT